CCCCAAAACCCCAAAACCCCAAAACCCCTAGTTCTCCCAAATCAGTTGAAATAATACAAATATTTCATTTTAATCATATTTGATTTTATTCAGAAAAATAATGGAGAAATGTAAGCATTGTAAGGGCAAATTTAGCAGTACAAGATATCAGTTTGAATAACAAAGAGTCCCATAAGTAATCTAGATTTACTTTAATCCTTCAGACATCCCAAGAAAGATAAACCTAGCAGTAGGTTAGAAGAGTAATTTAGAACGTAAGAGAATATAGAACATACGAAGCTTACCAAAGCCTCGCCCAGTATAAAGGAAATAAGATAGATGATGATATTTATGAAGATTTTGAGAACCCAAATGGGCCTAGTAACCCAAAGTACTATTTCTCCTCACAAATAGGTGGAATAATGTCTTTAAACATCTGCTCAATGAAGGCCAGCAAGATCCTAAGTTAAAGTTCCTCTACAGCTCAATTGCTGATAAGAAGAAGAAATCTATAGTAAAAATACCTCGAAGAAGTGAGTCTTTATTCCAACTTTTAGGGAGGACCAAAATGAGCAAACTCAGTCAGATGGGTATAAACACCTCTCAGGATTTCTACAATATGAGCCAGGGTGATAATGAGTTATGCTCTGTAGCTTCTCTATCCCCACATAGAGTATTTGAAGCTTTCATATTTAGATCCACCCAAAACATAGATTTTCGTCTATTGAAAGCCAGAAGGGTGTAGGATCCGCACTTGGAAAGTCTTTATTCAAGAAAGAAAATACAAGGAGTAATAAGTCCCTTGGCTCAGGTATCCGACTGCATATCCCAAAGCAGAGCGATGATAAGCTCTCCATGCTGAAGAATGAAGTCGTGGAATTACAGAAATCTCTGAATAAGAAAAGCGGATTCTTAAGCCATATTTTAAGAGGAGGAAAGGTAATTTACCTCTAAATTTCTTTAGAAAACCAGTGAGAGGTTTTTGTTGTAACTTTACAGGTGCAATGTCTCTCGTTCCACTAAAGAAATCTAGTGTGAATAATACCAATGACCCAGCAGGAAAAAGTTCGGACAATGGAGGGAACAAAACTGGGAAACATGGGATCTCTAGACTTTCTGCAATTATTAGGAGAGACCTAATTCCTGCACAGAGGTTTAACAAAAGTGTCTTACAAAGAAACCAGGTAAAGAACAGGTGCTCAGAAGCAAAAGTTAGCAAATAAAAATAGTTTGAAAGATATTTCAAGAGATAGCCCAAATTTTGAAGTAAAAAATAGTCGAGGGAAAGTAAATCTTAATGAAAGCCCAACAGGGAAGGAATTTAAGAACCTTATCACTTTTAATGAACAGAATGGCAAAATGTCTAATGAATCAAGCGTCTCAGTACTGGATGATACTGATAGCTCGGTTGAAGAGCTGAGAATACCGAAGAATAGTACAAGAAATTGAGCATCTAGCTTAGAACATAAAAGCGTTTTATTTAACAATAGCTACCTTTCATCATCTGTGAATCATAACTTAATTGGTGCTTCAGTCCTCAGCAAATCATCAGAAAGAATAAAGAAGGTAAAAACATAACTCAATCAATAGATGAAAGTAGGAATCAAACATCTTTCCCCCTTACCAAGCCTAAAATAAATCAACTCTCCAAGACCCCATAAACAAAGAAGATTTTTACCTCAAACGTGAAAAATTCCTCATAAAACTGCTCAAAAAGTACAAATAAACTAATTTCAAAGGCACTTTTCTCTCTAACCTCATAGAAACTCAAAACCTTAACCCCTGCCAGCCCACCTCCTTCCAGATCCTCTCTTCTCTCCTTCTCAGCCGCCCTCAGCTCCCTTCTTAAGAAACTTGCAAATGGTCAATTCCACTCAATTTCCCAGTCAAAAATTAGTGGAACCCCACTAAGTATGTGACCAAGCCTGGTCACATACTTGAAGTTGGTCCTACTCTCGAAGAGCAAATGGTAATTTTAGAGAGGGGTTGGGGTCCTGAAAATGCGTTTTATAGGCAGAATTATGTGGTTTAGGGAGACTTTTAGACCTTTTAGGGCTCTTAGGTGGTATAGTACTGTGTTATGACACTTATGACCTTAACTTGCCCTATAGTTTGGTCAATACTACATTTATTATCTGAATTTGCTTTTTCTAAACAATGGTTTATCCTATACCATGATTTTTTTGCCGAAATTATCTGGTCTTGAAATCCCTAACTAGTACTCTTTAACTAGGAGTCTTAGTTAAACCTAAGGATTTGCTTGTAACAAAAGTATACAGATAAATCATTAAGGCTGATGACTGATTTTTCCAATGAACTTTAAAATTTTTAAGAGAGAAGTGCTTTGATATTGGGCCAAAGAAAATCAGAATTTACTAATTTTTATAGAAAGTCAAAAATTATTAGCCTGATTGAATATTTTGAGAAGAAATTGAAGAAGGAAAAGAAAATCAAATTTGATAAAAGACTCAAGGAAGCTATAGTCCCAAAAGCTTCTCTTAAATTTGCAAAAGTTGTATATTCCCCAAGGTAAGTTTTGAATCAATCTAAGGCTTGACTCTTTGACTATCATATATTTAACTTTCCAAATTGTTTAAATTAGCCATGCTTCCTGAGCTTCTATATTTGACAAATCAATATCTTTCCAATAAGCTGATTATCTCTAATACATTTCAAGGTATCGATCAATTGAAGTGAAGCACAAGAGCTCTAAAAGAGTCAAGAAGGTAGTCACAAAAGTAAACCAGCGGTTGCATCTTCCCAGGATAAAATAAAACCAAGCATCTCTGTTACCCTGATTCAGTATATTCTTGGTTCAATGACAATTGCTATTTAGGGGTTTTGGGGTTTTGGGGTTTTGGGGTTTTGGG